ATGTCCTTGTTCTGCACGGTGTGGTCTGTGACCTCAGGCAAGTCTCTGTACTTCTGAGCCTCCATCCTTCACCAGGAAACATGGGAAGTATTAGTTTGGGGATCTGGGGGAGACCGAGGTCCAGCCCCCTGTCCACCTGGATCCCAGGCACCCTGGCTTGGCTCAGCCCCACCCCACAGCCTGCCCCTCATCACCAGTTCACCTCCTCGCTGACTTAGAGGAAGTGAAGAAATCCGGGGCTTCTGGCTCTGGTGATGCTGAGAACCCGGGGAAAACCCGGGCCTGAGGAGGCTAGACTTTCTAAATCACGCAGGCCCTGCTGCTAAGGTTGTGTAAGAAGGGTCTGTGACGGCGGCTAGTTCCCGCTGAGGGCCTCCTGTGGGGAGCAGGAGGAAAACAGCCCCCGTGGCCCTCAGACACCAGTGTGGTCTCAGCTTCCTCATTCCCAGAGGGAAGGAGTCCCAGCTGCTCCTGGTAGGGAGGCTGGGCCAAGGGGTCGTGGTGAGGCAGCCCGGAGGCCAGAGAGGACAGGCCATCGGGTGGGATGACCTGAGGGACTCCGCCAGCCTCCCTTCCCGCAGACCATAGACAAGCCTCGGACAGGCACTCCTCCTGTCTGTGAGGGCTTGACCTCCTGGTGTCTCCATTTCTTCCTCACTTTTTCACAAAGTATAGATTTTCTGTTGTGCTCAGCGCTGGGCATACAGCACTCGGTGAACAAGACAGGCATGGTCCCTGCCTTCACTTACAACTTAGAACCTGATGGGAAAGCAGACACTTCACAGTTTTAGTAAAGTGTAATTCATGGGGTGTAATTGGGGAGTGGGTGCCAAGGAGACTCAACCTAATATTGGTGGGGTGGGAGCAGTCAGGGAGGGCTTTCTGGAGGAGGTCGCATTTGAGCTATGCCCTGTGAGTAGACTTGCAGACATCCCACATTCTGGATTTGTCCGATGGTTTCCTTATGGCGTCATTTAGCTTGTTCCTCTACCTCCTCTATTTTCTATGAATTGGAACTTAGGTCCAGAGGCTTGAGATTCAGGTTCAATATTTCGGTGACAATTTTTGACAGAAGGAAAAGACTGATTCTGCCCAGCTCATGTGTGCCAGGCATTGGACAGGGCCCTGTGTACGTTAGTTATTGCTGTGAATCCTCAAGAGGTATTACTGTCCCCATTTTAGAGAGGACATTGCAGCCAGAGAGATTGGTACCTTGTGTGTCTCACCCAACAGCAGGGCTGGCATTTGAACCCAGTGCGTGGGCTCTTCCACCAGCCCCCAAACCCTGGGCAAGGCCACAGCCCTACATTAGGACAATTCTCATTAAAAAGATCTGTGCCTAAAAATGCAGGCATCAAATTGTGTTCAGAGGTTGATTCCAATAAACCAATTAGATCTGCCGCAGAGGCCTTGTACCACAGGGACAGAACTTTAAAAATTGTAAACAGGAGATCAAGAGTGAATTGTGTAAGCAAAAAAATTTTTTTCCATTTATGGGTGTATGCTTTGGGTTGGTTTTTAAATCTGATGATCTTTCTTTTTAATTTCTTTTTCTTGTTTCTTAATCCACATTGACGTTGTCCTTGACAGATAGTCATCCAAACTTGGCTTAAATATGCCCCAGGGTGGGGACCTTTGGTAAGGTGTTTTCTGGGCCTCTGTTTACCCATCTGGAAGATAGGGCCATCAGATTGGCTGAATTCGGTGATTCCTTTCAGATGGGGAAGAGCCCCCTTACTGGTTTCCCAGCCCCTTTTCAAACCATCTTCCACACAGCAGCCAGAGGTATATAGATGAATATTTTTAAAAAACATGTATTAAATGATGTCACACGTCCCCCCTCCCCAAAACTTCAATAGACTAAAATCCCTCACTGGTGCCCTGCACGCCCCGTAAGGCCCGTGTGTTGCAGCCGCTGCCTGCCGCCCAGCCACATCCCCTTCCTCCCCCAGCCCTGTCCTGCTATAATGGTCTTCCTGTTCCTCAGACATGCCAAGCATTTTCCAGCCTGCGGGTCTTCATTTGCACTTTTCTTTCTGCCTGGAATACACTTTGCTCAGCTCTCTCCCGGCCAGCTCCTCATCCTTCAGGCCTCCATTCAAAGGCTGCTTCCTCAGATGGGCCTCTCCTTCCAAGAACCCCTGCACCCACCAGTCCCATCATGTACTGTCACTGCAGGCTTTGGGGTCCTTCCTGACACTGACTGTGACTGCTAAGCGTGTCTCCTTGTCTGCTGGTTCGTTGCCCATCTTCCTCCTTGCCAAGGGCAGAGACTGCAGCTGTCCTGCTCCTCATTGCAACCCAGCGTCTAGCAGGCGTCCTAGCACACGAGAGGCGCTGAATAAATGTTGTAGAGTGAATGAGTGAATAAATGAATGGGATCCTTTCAAAATCTCCACGCTGGGGTCTTGGTGAAGCAGAATTGGTGTCTTCTTTTTAATAAGACTAATGACTATTCAGATGGCTTTGGAGACAGCTCTTTTTGTCAGAATATCACTTTTCCAAGGAGACTTAGCCTCCCAGAGGATGCCTTGACCTGTTCTTTGTCTTCATGAGGTACCCAGGACCAGGGGGCACAAACAAGGGAAAGAGGGATGCTGGGTTGCCCAAATCCCTGGTGTTGAAATAGTGTCTTTATGAACAGGGGCTGGGTAGGTAAGCATTGGAGAATCAGGTTTCTTGAACTTCTCCTCTCTGCCTCCGATCTCAGAACTCTGCCTGTGATAATCATCACAGTTCTGTGCAAGATGAATTTGATGTTCCCATTTTACAGAGGGAAACTGAGGCCACGAGGGTTGGGAAATTGTGTGAGCATAAAGCCCAAGTTCCTCCCTCCCTGCCGACCTTCACTGAAACGAAATCCACGTTGGATTTGGAGAAGTCGTTCCCGGTAAACCCCTTAGTTGGGCGTTCAAGGGCACCGCCCATCTCGTCCTTGTCATTTCTTCTCACCTGGAGAAGCTTCTCCCATAAGTCCCTGATGTTCACAGTGGGCTCTGGCTCCAGCCCCCCGGAGCTGCTCCTCTTTTTTCTGTTTTAAATGACAGTATCCTAGCAAGAACTCATTTGGAAGGAGACTCTCTCCAAAACCACTTCGGAAACCACTGCCAGGTGTGGTTCCCGATACTCCCCAAGTGGTCTTGGCTCCACCAGCATCCCCCACCGCCCACCGTCTCTTCCTTCCTCTCATGCTGTCTAGGTCTGCACGGCCTTCAAGGTCACCATGATGACCAAAAAACTTCAGAGATCTCTCTTCCGCCTCCCCGCTTCCTGCATCAGTCGGGACTAAATTATATGTGTCAGAAACCCAACTTAAACTGGCTTCAAAAATAATCCCAGAGTGTGGATGTGGCCCCGGGTTTACTGGCTCAGGAAACTGGACAGATCAGGTGTAGACTGAACGAGCTACAGACAGAGCTGGGCCTAAAAGGATCGGGCTGTGTCATCTGAATCTACTGATACTGGCCTTATTCTCAGGCAGGCTCCTCTTAAGGGATGATGTGATGGCCTCCGGCAGCTCCAGGTCCCTGTCCTTACAGCCTGGCAACCTCAAAGAAAAGAGAGCTTGTCTTTCTCAAGGGCGGGAGCAGAAGCCCCAGGGCTGACTCGTGCTGGCTCTGATTGGCCCGGTGCAGGTCATGTGCTTCCTCCTCAACCAATCACCACGGACAGTGGCATCCACCTTGGTGTCTAAGGGACTGTGCTGAGGTGGGGAAGGAGGCTCCCAGGAGAAAAGTCAGGGTGCTCTGGTTGAAAGAAAGGTTAATCAGTATTGGGCAGAAATAACAGATGTCCCCTGACCATGTGTTATTTTCATTTATACACATGTTGGCTCTCCAGCTCACCCTCCACTCAGGGGACGCACCCTGCCTGTGTACCCCATGGCCTCTAACAGCACCTAGCCCTTGGTGTTCATACAGCATTTCTCTGTTTCCAAACAGTGTTCACATATATATGTTCGAAGCATCAAAATGACCCTGTAACCACAGGTAATTTGTGCAAGTCAGGAATGGGAGCAAGTCACCCCTTATCCCTTGAGTTTCCAGGCATGTCCGGAGCCACCAGAGTCCCCAGCCAGGTGCCTCTGACCTCCTGCGGCCACCTCAGTTTGCCCGAATTTGTCATCAATGTGTTATTTTCTGTGTGTGCTGTGACTTGTCACAGAGGTTGGAAATGTGGCCCTGTGGTGTATAAAGTGGTTCCCCATCCTCCATCTTATCGGATCTTCACTCTGTCCTGGGAGGCAGTGGAAACCGATGCTGTTGGCCCAGTTATAGGTGGGGAAACTGACACTCAGAGGGAGAAAATGACTCTGCCTGGGCCTTAACTGGAGGAAATGGCATGATAGATTCGCTTATGAGAAATATGAGAGAACTAAGAGCTCAGTTGCCGGGACTTCTGACAAAAGTCAAAGTTTTAAGAATGACGCTGACAAAATAGCCATGGCTCTCAGAATTGAAAGGAGAGCAAGAAATCCTGAAAAGAATAGCGTCTCTTGACATAAGCAAGGTGCTAACGCTTTCCCGTACTTGATTTCATGTAATCCTTTGCACAGCTCTCAGAGGTGGGGGGTTATTATACCCATTTCAGTGAGGAGGAAGCTGAGGCTCAGAGAGAGCAAGTAACTTGTCCAAAGCCATACAGCTGGTCAGGGGTGGAGCTGAGATTCAGACCCAGGTCTTTCTAACTCCGAACCCTGTGCTTCGCTCTTGAGTCTGGCAGCTGGGAAGGCCCTCTTGGTGTAACACCTGTCTCCTCCATCCCTCTCTGCAGGTCTATATCATCAGGGTCACGTGGTCCAGCGGCACCACCGAGGCCATTTATCGGCGCTACAGCAAGTTCTTCGACCTCCAGGTAAGTCTTTGGGGTCTCTGATAAGCTGTAGGGTGGGGAAGAGTTTGTTTGGACTTCTTTTCCATTTTGACTTCCGAGCTAGAACCTCAGCCACAGTGCACGCACGGTGTTGTTGTTTATTTCCTAGACTTAAAAATGACGCCCATGGGCTCACCTCAGCAGCACACATACTAAAGTTGGAATGATACAGAGATTAGCCTGGCCCCTGTGCAGGGATGACACACAAATCTGTGCAGCCTTCCATATTTAAAAAAAAAAAAGAAGGTGCCCATCACTTTGGGGACATAAGTCATGTGCTATATTGCTTTATGCTCTGATATTCAATATTTTCCAAATAAAAGAAAGGCTCCTATTGACTGCGCTAGAATGGAGGCCAAACTGGAAACCGTTTCTGTTCGGGTTTGGAATATGGATCTTGACCTTGTATTGTAAACAGTCATCATGTGTGCTGGTGGGTTCAGTTGCTGAAGGTGTTCGGACCTCATGGGGCCATTTTGCTCTGAAGACAGACCCACGTCTGTTCCCTCCCCTCGGCCTCCTCTCCTTGTCAGTCTCCTCACTCGGCTCCGAAAATGCCTGCCCTGCTCCGAGGGCTCCTCTCCTGTGATGCCTTTGAATTTGCCGTTCCTCTCCCGGAACACCTCCTGCACCGTCTAGCCCCTTGGTTGGCTCGCATAACTCCTGCTATCCTTGGAGACTCTTATCCCCTGGGGAGGCTGGTCTGACTTCGTTCCCTGGTCAGCAAGGACCACTTCTTTTGCCTCTGCACAGCTCTGCATCCCTCTGTCCTGACTCTAGATTGAAGTTGTCTGCTTGTCTGTCTCCCCCACTAAACTGTGACTCTTGTGGACAGGAACCATCTGCATTATCCTCTCTTTCCTTAATGTTTCATGCAAGGACACTGTGTATCCAGTGTTTGGTGAATGAATGAATGAATGAATGAATGAACAAACCACCGGTCTCATAGAGAGCCGCCGTGGATGCCCATCCCCACTAGGGTAAAAGAACTCTAATCTGTGGGTCAGTAGCATCATCCTGACGTGACCAAAGGCCAGCAACTCAAAGCAAGTATGTCTGTATGAGAAGTTACAGTGCCTGATAGGACATAACAAAGTTCTTTAGAAAACACAGGCCTCAGGAGGAGATGGGAATTTGCACGGTTTCCTGAATCCTTGAGTGTTCCTTGCCACGTGGTGCGGGGCTCACGTCACCTCACAGGCTGATGTAAGGTGCAAGTGATGGAAACCCAACTCAGACTGGCCTAAGTAAACAGAGAGATGTGGGGAGCTGGTGTAACGGAATGTCCTGAGAGAAGGAGAATTTTGGACCTCAGGCACAGCTTGATCCAGGGTTTTCCACTGTGTCCTCTCACCCAATTTCTTCCTCTCGTTCTGCTTTCCTCCTTCCTTGGTGTTGGCTTTATCCTCAGCTCCCACTTCGTTGCAAAATGCTCTGGGCTCAAACTCAGCAGAAAAGACTGAAAGGTCACCTCACAGAAGTCCCAGCAAACATGGTATTGCGTTTCATCGGCTCATCTCTAAGCCAGTCAGTCAGATTGAGGAATGCGATGGCCGGTGGGCTTACCTCGTCCCCACTCCATCTCTCAGTCAAGGGGGTGAGGACTGAGACCTGAGAATAGCTGTGGTCACATGTAGAGCAGGCACTGGGGGCCATCAGAAGTCAGCCCCTCCACACACCAGCCTGCCTCTGCGCCTCACAGCTTCTCTCTGAAGGTTGGGTGATACTAGCCAGAGACGTCCTTGGTTGGACAGACCTCATCTGTTCCTGAAAATGTCAAATAGAGAATTTTCAGAGCCTGTATTCCGTTATTTTAAAGGGAGAGGGGAGATAATACTGTGCTTCTATCTGGTCTCCCCAGTGTCACCAGTCTCAAACGCCTACATTACCAACTGCCAAGGGTCATTGCATAATGGACAGCAGTTGAGACACCAGTTACCTAATTACGTAAAATATAATGAACTCATTAGTGATGTTTTGTGTTCACTATGCAACAAAATCAAACAGTATCACATACAAATGGTATTTTTCATCTGGTCTGCAGCAAACTTGTACCGAGTGTCAATACACCAAGAGGCTTAATGTTAAAGATGCTAAGATACCATCTAAAATGGCCTTGGCAGGAACAGACACGGGCCGGGGAAGGGCTGACCCTGGGGAAAGGCGGGGAGGATGACAGCGGTGATGGGTAACACCTCTAAACACCCGAGCGGAGGCCGGGTCCTATATGAGGATGATGGAGATCCACACCCCATTTCCCAGATGCACGGGTGATTTATGCAGACACATCACGACAGGCCTTTAGAGAGTAGATGTTGGGTAAACAGTTTGCAAATTGCTACTTGCTAGACTGATTTTTTTCATGCAGTGAGGGTCTCAGTTGGGGGGGGGGGCTACCTGTATTTTGTTTTCAGAGACCTCTTGCCTGCCTGGCATCTCCAAAAAGGAACAGAGAGGCAGAGGTCAACGCCACGGGTGACTGCTATCCTAGGGACTATTGGCATCCACGGAGCAGACACCCACTTTGCACTAGCTTAGGCAGACAGAGAGAAATGGGGGTGGGCTCATGAGAGAAGGCAGGTGCGCCCCACGGAACCCAGAGCGGGGCGTGCAGCTGGCCTCACAGGGGCCCGGAACCGGCAACAGAATGACCCTCCAGGGACCAGCAGCTCCTTGGCTGTGTGTCATGTGGCCCCAAGATCTTCCATCGAGCCTGCTTCCTTTTCCCACCACCTCTCTGGATCAACTTCCTCCTCTGGCCCATGGTCCCATGTCCCCCAGACAGCACCCTCAGTCCCCGAGTTGAAGTGCCCTTCCCTGTGTCGACGCACTGGAGTTTCTCGGGGCCAATTCCAGTCTCCGGGAAGGAGCATCTGATTGTCGGCCTCTGGGGTCAGAGTCCACCCCCGAGCCTGCCAGCTGTGGCCAGAGAGGCGGGCTGGGTACAGCACCATCTGGAGGAGCGGGTTCAGTGAGAAGAGAGTAGGGAGGAGGCCCTGGCAGCCCGTGTGGAGATGTTCATTGCTGCCACTCTGCAGCCCGGGAGCCAGGCAGTGTGTGCGGAACTTGGCTGTGCCTTCGAGCTCCCTGTTCCACCGTTGTCCGGGGCTTCAGACCTTGACCTCTGCCGTTAGACAGACCTAGGTTCACACGTCAGCTCTGTGTGTTTCTGAGCCTCCGTTTCCCCATCTGCATATTAAGAAGGAAAGTGCTTTCCTCGCGTCTGTTATGACAGTTCAGTGAGTTGGGCCTCGCTCAGTAAGCACGTTAGCTGTCACCTGCTGTCCCTCTGCTCAGATGGAACTTGCAGAGGTGACGGCGTTTGGGATCGTTCGAGCCAGGGTTGGATCACGGGGCTCCCCGGCCGAAAACCTGCATTCCCTGCACTCTCCTGTCCTAACTTAACTTTCTCATTCCTACCAGCACTTAAGAGCGAGGTTTCCTTCCCCTGCTCAGCATAATTGGCAATAATTGGGGGTTTGCTGGGACACAAAGTCATCTAAAGACAGGGCTTCAGCTGGCTTTAAAGAATCCCAGATGGGCAGCTGGAGTGGGAGCATCATGGAATTCCAGGGGGTCCTGCCGTCCTGGAAATGGCCTGCTCCCCACCAGCCGCCCCCCGCCAACCCCATACCTGAGAGAGGGAACCTGGGGGGAAGCAGGGCAGGACCCCAGCAGCCAAAGTCGGCTGTACCCAAGGACCAGGCAAGGAGGCCAGCCCGCACGAGGCTGTGACACCCTAAAGTCGGATGATTTCATGATTCTCCCCTCCCCTCCTGTCTATCTGGCAAGTAGCCTTGGTTTTTTTTCTGAAGTAACTTGGCTCAGAGTGTGGGGAGGGCCGAGCTTTCGTGGAGGAACAGCTAGGCCAGTGTGGCGTAATGGAAACAGCAGAGGACTCAGGAGACCTGGGGCCCAGCCACCTGTGCTGTGTGGCCGTGAGCACACCCCTTAACCCCTCTGTGCCTGATTGTCCTCATCAGTAGCATGATACTAGAAACAGCTGGCACTCCTGGGGCACTGACTGCTAAGCGTCAAGATATGGTGACTCATTTAATCCTCATACCAAGCTTATCAAAAGATAACCCCAGGCTCAGAAAGGTTAAGACAGTGGCCCAAGGTCACACAGCCCATGAGCATTAGAACTCAGATTTAAAGCTGGGCTGGCGACACCAGTGTCCACAGTCTTAGCCTCTCTGCCTTCCAGTGCTCCTCTCTCTGGTGGCTACTTCACGAGACTCCTTTGGACTTAAAACTGATGATGTGTGTCCGAAAGAGGCAAAGCCACAGACACAGAAAGCAGATTAGTGGTTGCCAGGAGCTGGGGGAAAGGAGAAAGGAGGAGAGACTGCTAGTGGGTACTGGGTGTCTTTTTGGGGGTGATGAAAATATTCTGGAATTAGATAGTGGTCATAGTTGCACAGCCTTGTGAATATACTATAAACCAGTAAATTGTACAATTAAAGATGGTGAATTTTATGATATGTGAAGTATATCTCAATTTTTTTTTTGTACAAAAGTGATGATGTGTGTGAGAGCAGTTTCTGGGCTGTCTGAGCGCTGAGCAAATGTCAGCTGTTGGGATTATTGATGGGCATGGGTTGCTGCTAGGAACTGGCATGAAGATTAGAGGAGGGGATGATGCCAGTTTAATAGAGTGGCTAAGATCCTGGGCTTTGATCCAAATGCTGCCACTTCCTGGCTGTAAGGTCTTATTTTAGTCAGAACTGTTTTAGTTACAGATGACAGAAACCCAGTCAATATGGATTATTCAAGAAGAACATTGATTAGCTAAACAGAACTGAGAAAACTAAGGGGACTTGGCTTCAGGTATGGCTGGATCTAGGGGCCACAATGTCAGTGAGATCTGCCTTTCTCTACTTCTTGGCTTTCATCGCGTGCAGGCAGGGTGTTGTCTGGTACGGTGGGGGCCACAGCTCCCAGCTGTATCCAGCAGATCAGTGACTTCAGGGGAAAAGAGAACACCCCAACAGTTTGAGCAAGTCTCATTGGTTCATCTTGGGTCAATGGCTGGGCCAGTCAGGGCCAGCCCAGGGACCGGAGCAGAATCGGCGTCACGCCAATGCATGCTAACAGGGTAGAAGGAAGCCAGAGACCTGCTGCCAAAGGAGGGGAAATGGCCTGTGGCTGACAGAAACAGTAAATGTCCCCTCTGGTGGAGGCAGGACATCCAGACAGAGGAAGCAGTCTGCAGAGAGGCCGCCTGGGATA